AAAAAAAAAAAAAAAAGGGCAAAAGGCAGGCCCTGTGCTGAAGGAGTTCACAATCTAAGGTAGATCTCTTTGCATTGAATCTTGAGCTTCTTTGTGCTTCAGAACACTTTTTTTTTCATTTCCTCCTGCATTTTCTAGTTTCTAGTAATTCTATTATTACAAAACAATCCTGTCTTATTTGAATTTGATTTCTTTTATACTTGAAGGTTTTTCTCCCTACTTACTCACATTTGCTGTTTGTCATGGAAATCATTAAATCATTAAATTTAACCACAAAGAGTTTAAGAGTTTGCAATATTCAGGGGTTTTTTTGTTTGTTTTCTTGCAGGTGATCAATAGATTCTTTCAAATGACACTTTGTTTTCTGTGTTCAAAAGCTCTGCAGTTTTCTTTTTGTATTTCTTGTATTATGGTGTTCAGACTTTTTTATTTTACTCTACTGGAAAATAAATATAATTCTTTGATTGTCTGTATGCATGCTGTCTTCAAGTTACATCTTTTACTTGAATAGAAGTAATATTTTCTTTTGATATTATTGTTCTTTGCTTCCCAACTTCCAGATTATCCTTCACTTCTACATATTTGAATTCCCAATCATTTTTTCCTTTTTTTTTTTTTGTAAAGCTGACACTTAAAATAAGATTTTCTATTCTGCCAATTACACCTACTATAGAGGCCACAAATTTTGCTTTCATGATTCTTATTTCTCTTTTAAACCAGTCGTGAACACTCTGCTCTGGTTCCAAGTTTTCCCAGGAATCAATGGGTTCTTCTGCCTCATTAGATGTACATTTATTTTCCTTTGTCTTAGAATATTTGCTCATAGACATCTAGACTAATTCAGCTGATCTGGAAGCCATATTTACTCCTATTATTATTATTTTCCCTGCTGGTTTAGTTACTTGTGATCAAGACCTTTAACTAAGTTTTCTTCATCCTGAGATATTGGTTTCATTTCATGATTTTTTTTCCCCTTATGTTCACCAATTACGCAGTTTATGATTCACTCCTCTGAAATGGTGGTTACCACAGAGGCTGGACTCAACGTCATTTTAGCTTCCTCCCATACTGTGCAGTTCATGTTTCACCAGTTTTGGTCTCTCCCTCAAGGATGCCAGTTGTCTTTGCCACCAGCTACCTAAAATACCACATATGCTGACATCCTGTACCAGTTTCCTTTTTCCCTCAGTTCTCTCATTGATTATTGTTATAGCACAGAATACTGTCATGTTGCAGTCCCAACTAGAGTAAACTTTTGCCTTTTGGTTTCCCAGGGTGGGGAAGGAGGGGAGAAGTAGGAGGGGAGGAGTAGGAGAGTTGGTAGAATTGAGTTCTATTAAAAGTCAGCTTGTACAGCCCTGCCAGAATGTGGTATCTGGTGACTGAAGGGGTGCTGAATTAGTACATTAAGGGTTAGGGATTAGCCTTCTCTTTCGTTCATTGTATTTTTACCTCATGGAGACAAGTGACACCACACTATTTCTTACACATAATTCCCATTTTGGAGAAGTCTGAGAAGTCATGAGGAGGGACGAAGTGTCTAACCTCCCCTCTTGTTGGTCACATGACCTGAATTCTGATTGTTGAGATGTTTATCAGTCGTGTCCATCTCTTCGTGACCCTATTTGGGCATGTGACCCTACTTCTTAGCAAAGATGATGGAATAGTTTGCCATTTCCTTCTCCAGCTCATTTTGTAGATGAGGAAACTGAGGAAAACAGGATTAAGTGACTAGCCCATGGTCATGTAGCTAGTAAGTGTCTGCTGCCAGATATGAAATAAGGAAGATGAATCTTCCTGACTCCAGGCCCAGCACTCTATCCACTGAGCCATGGAATTCCCTAGTTTTGGGGGGTGGTTTTTAATAAGAGGGCAACAAATATATATTTGTTGACCATATGCTAGGCACTGTTAAATGCTTTACAAATATTATCTTGAGGGCAGCTAGGTGGCGCCTCTTCCCATACCCCCATCCCAACCCCTGCAGAAAGAAACTAAGACACTACACTTCACCTAAACACTACCATGAATTCCCCTTCCCAACAGTCATGAACCCATGCTCCTCTAGTACCTCAGATGCAGAAATGGAATGGCCACTAACAACACTCTGATAAGCAGGGAGTTGCTGCTATACCCTAAAGAACACCAGGACTTGCCATCTTCCCTACCACTATGCTTTCCTGATTCTTGGGCAATGATCTGATCTGTCACTGTATAAGAGAACCCCTGGGTCCTGCCATCCTCCCTGGTACTGAACTCTTCTCCTGATTTTTAATTTGTACCCCAGTGCCTAGTACATAGGTATATACTTAATAAGTGCATTTTCATTTATTGAACAAAAACCTATTGGTCTCAAAGGGCTGAACCTCTGACACTTTCGTGGTTAAGTTCTACAATAAATTAAAGTTGGCCTTGCACATTAGGCAGATATGCTTTCCCTTGTATACTTATCAGCAACAGATCAAACAGAAAACCTTGATTTCTGAAGAGTTAACCATGCCTCCAAATAACATAAATGTGATCATAGTCACTATTTATCAGTTTTATAGGAAGAATGGGGGTTGATTTTAAGGCTATATCAGGTATATAAAACAGTGACTGATACTTACCAATGGTTATAATATATTCTGGCGCTTGTGGAGTAAGATTATGCAAAGCCTTAGTTGACAGCCCTCGGATAACTCTGAAAAAAGAGGGGGAAATCATTTTTATACTTTTCCCCCCTTACTTTGACAATTCTAGATTTATTTAATTAAAAAAAAGGAGAGGATAGAAAAGATATGCATGTAGAGGAGTCTATGGATATGAGATCATTAATTGTTTAGTTAATTAAGGCTACTAAGATTAGAACAAAAGTAAGCTAAAATGGCAAAACAACAGAAAGAGGCAGTGTTCTTTTAAACAAAAACACTGAATTGTAATACCAAAAGTTTTGCCCATTCCTCATCTCATATACATATACACGTACACATATGCATGCATGTGTATATATTGAGGGATTTATTTCTCTTCAAATTCTTTATGTAAGGGAGCAAAGCAAAGACTATTTCAAACTTTGCCCTTTTCGAGACCTTGAAATCACCAGAGTGGTCTATTCATAGACTACAAATAAATAGCATAAAATTTAGACTGGCTCATTCTGGCTTGTAAATGAAATGAAATTTTGAATGGTTCATTCACAAATTGGAAAGGGAATGCCCCTTTCCAACACGCTTTTTCCTATTAGAGGTGTTAAGAGGCTCCTTAATAGATTATAGGGCTTTGGCTACTAGATGAAGCCAACTGACAATATGAAGGAATATGAGAGAATCAGCTACACCCAGCCAATATAAAACAGACAACTGTAAAGTGAGCTGAGACAGTGAGATATGACAGTCCAGAAGAAAGCCAGCTTATTCTAAAAGGAATCAAGTTTTGAGGATTTACTCTTTATTTTACAAACAGGATGGGAGGAGGGGAAGGGAGAGAAGTAGTTTCTCTCTCTACTCCTACCATTCAGCTGTAAGAACATAGTCATAGGAGATCATTTGCCAAAAATAAAAGCAGATTCAAAAAGAGAAGCAAAGGAGAGGAACAGACCAGGGAGGCCACTGGCAAGATGCCATCTGATACAGGAACAATGTGAGAAATCCATGAGAACAGAAAAGACTTTTGAGGTCTTGGGATATGAATTATCTTGGAGATGTGTGTTCTCTTTGTGTGTTTCCCTCTACTAATGTAAACTCTGTGTCCGCTCACTCTTCCCAGTGATGCAGAGGGTCTGCACCACAGACTTAAGAAGGAATGTTCTGTTACTATTGCTCATTGTAAATAACTTCAGTAAACACCTTTGCTTTGAGCTTACTGTGTTAAATGGCTAACTACTGAAGGTAAACCCACTGATGAGGGCAAATGAACTATAATTTTAGGAGTGTACATACAGATTACTTTCACCTTAATTGTTCTTTTAAGAACCTAATCACCTAGGGTGAGATGGAGGGGACAAAGAAGGAAAGAGGCACAAGGGGAGAACTAAATTGTGGGAGATCATCCCAGACACATCTAGGATGCTCCCCTGCATTTGCAGAGGCCGTGTAGAGAGATTTCTGTTCTGGATTCTCCTCTTTCAATGCCTTAGGATTGTAGAGATCCCCTAGAAAAATTAGTAATTTAGTTTCTTTTATTTTGTTTTTAGACTGTAAATCCAGTTTATTTTCCAATGTATTTCCTTTACAAGTCAGACCAATTCCTTTGAGATGCTTTTTGCTTGGTAGAAAGCTGAGGTATCTGATATCAGTAATATCAGTAATAATGCTATTTTCAGTATGAATATAGAAGCTGATGTGAAAAATATACATGTTGCATCCTTAGAATACTGATACTTATAAGCTTAATGCACCTAGAACCACACGAGTGCCTCATGATTTTAGCGACAAGTACATTCAGAGCATTGTGCAGAAAAGGACAAAACCCTGTTGGTTTTCCATAAATTACCTGAAAATGTAGGCTCTTCTAAAATTCTTAGAAGAATATCTGTTCCAGAAAGTAACTGAAAATGAATTATAAGGGCTCCCCTTTAGGCGTGAGAGGATACTGCATAGAGATAGTATCTGAAAATAGCTTACCAGAACTAACCTTGAAGAAAATGCCAATTGAAGGACCAAGAACAACAGCTATAACTGACACTGAAAGTAGGACCCACCAGGACTAATGCAGAGAACTCAATATGGAAAACCTTAACAGGGAAGTCTTTAGGTCATGGCTAAAGAAATGAGGTTGATTACTAGATAGGCTGAGGGGATCAATTTATGATACCTACATTTAAAAATACAATACTCCAAGATGACTGTATTGAATATGTGCTTATATTGGATAGTCAGTTTAGTTACAGAAAGTTAGATACAGAAAATTCTGACTATACCTAATATGAAGTAACACTTCAGTGACCCAAGAGAGGAATGTAGAGTTGGTGCATGAAAGGCTGAATTCCAAGAAGTCAACATTAGGAAATGAAGCTGGGGCCTGGGCTAGAAGTTAACTTGGATCCAGAAAACAGTTAGCTTGAAATCACTGTCATGAGTTATTATTTCTTATTAATTATTAGAGTCCACTCCATTTGGATATATTAGGACTCCACACAAAAGTAAGTGAAAATTGAGAATGTGAAAGGCATTACTATACTAGACAGTGGATTACAACCTACCATTGTGTAATAGTATTTCTATGAAAACTGTCTGAGGAAAATTCCAATGCAGCCTATGAAAAGGCTAGTCTTAGCGATTATGAGTCACTACTTATAGATAGGTAGTTACCGTTGTAGCCAGATGGAATTAAGTGAAGGGTACACGTTTCATCATATCATAAAAACCATCCATGATTAATGTGAATGTGGTATTGACATGTACACTGATATGTGATATATGTTGATATACACTATTGTTATATACTTCAGTGATGTATAGACTAATATGTAAAGTTATACATACACTACATTCCTATACTTGCCTGATACATATACAATGTACTATATATACTATATATATATACATATATATACACATATATATATACTACATACAATTCTCTTATGTATACTGTTATGTACTGCATGATGCTTGTATTTTGGTTTTATATATGCATGCCTATCTTTTTTTTTTTTTTTTGGCAAGGCAATCAGGACTAAGTGACTTCCCCAGGGTCACACAGCTGGTGAGTATCATGTATCTGAGGCTGGATTTGAATTCAGGTCCTCCTGACTCCAGGGCCAGTGCTCTTTCCACTGCGCCACCTAGCTGCCCCATTATGCATGCTTATCTTACATAAACTGAATATTACTGTGCTAGCAAATTAATTGTATGAAATATGAAGAATGCTAGCTCCACAGACATCCTGGTGTTATCACAAGTTAATTACAGGAATTGTATGCAAGGGTAAGGGATAAAGCCCATTTCAAACTTTCATCCTTTTCAGACACTGAATGATAACACTGAGTGACGTACTTAAAGCTTATAGAAAATAAACAACTTTGAATATGCCTTTTATGGTTTATAAAGGGTACTAAACCTTGATTGGCTCATACTGTAAGTGACCTATTTGCAAATTACAAAAAGGTATGCCACTTTCCGACTTTAGTCAGTGTAAAGATGTGTTTACACTTCTTTTTTTCCTTTTGGGAAAAGAAGTTTCTTAATTAACTTCAGAGTGTTGTAGGAGAAATGGTAGTAAAGTAGGTCGTTGACCATTGGGTGAAAGCAATTGACCACATATGTGAAATGTCAAATGACTGGCTAAGAGGACTTAGTCACATCCTTCAGCAAATATTTTAACTTAAAAAAAAAATAAGTTAGCTCTAAAGTGAACCGATACCACAGCCTCTGGAAGCTGAGATGATACCTATTATTGAGAAAAGATTGTTTTTGAGGACTTGCCCTTCACCTCTGTTCCTGTGCCTCTTGGACAATGGAGCAAAGGAGAGAGAGGATTTCTTTTCCCTTGCCCTTTGGCAACAGACAGTTTAACTACATAAAGGAACAGGTCTAGGGAATCTAATAAGAGTGGCCTTTCCAGACGAATTGCTAGGTACTCAAGTGCAGCACTTTGACTGAATCCAAACTTCACAGAACAAATCCTCTTAATAAAAGGATTTGTTCTGTAAAACTTGGACTACATGGTTGCTGAGGTCACTTGTAATTCTGTGATTCAGCCTATTATCTATTTCAATTAGAGTAATTTAAATCCTTCTAGGCCCAATCCTTTGGGTTTATCCTCATATGAACAGATGTTTTAGTTTCACATTGGCAGCTAAACTTACACTTATCAAAAATATATACAACTTCTGAAATGTTAAGAACAAAGAAGAAAATATAGCAAGTGTTCTCCTGGGAGGCAGTACAGGGAAAAGATGATATGATACATGACACAGATCTAATCCTGATGCAAAAATTTTCAGCTTCAGGAACACAAAAATCTAGATGTCCCAATGTACATATCATTCTTTACGTATTTTCACTTCTTTATTACACCATTCAGGACAGCTTAATGGGTATTTGAAAAGAACTGACCATCTCAAAAACTGGGACACAACTACTTCTGACATTAAAAAGAACTTTCTACAAGAAAGAACAGTGACACCTGCCTGTTACCTGCGAGAGAGTACAGTCTTGCAATGTGATTAAGTGGCTTATTTCCTCAGGGGCTTAATGGTACACCTCTCTTTAGTTGCAATTAAGAACTGGTAGCAGTGACAAAACTTTCTACAGGAAATTAATTTAATCTTCTTATACTCAGTTTTAATGTCTGGCAACACTAATAATCTGTTTATGCTCTAGATTATATGCCTGGGGTTTTCCTTTGAAGTACCAGATTTAACTACCAATGAAATGCTGAGATACCTTATGACTGCTACTATAATTATGAAACTTGCTATTAAAACCTGCTTATCTTGTTATGAGACAACTTGGGCGAACTATAGCTGTCATCACAGTTCTGAGTCAGGGTGGTAATACTATATGTGTATATCTACTGTCACAGGGAAGCCATGTAAGTATACTTAAAGTTACTTTGACATTAAATTGAATCTAACTTTCTACCATTATGCCTACACAAATCCATTTATAAATTTATGACCTTGGAGACACCATATTAAGAACTCCTCAGAGTTATTAAAAAAAAAAAAAGAGGATAATCCACTAATAAGGGGCATTTAAGAGGTCTTTGGTCCTTCATAGACCAAAATTGACATTCTGGGTACTTAAAGCAAGTATGTATGTTTTGGAAAATAAAATGGTCAGGTACTTAAGCTGAAGAAACATGGATAATCCTATTGAAAACCTTTAAAAATAATTTAGTCATTATATTTGAAAAGAAAAGACAACAATAAGATTTTTTGAAGGATGAGAACACACAGTTAAACACATATTCAGAGAGATACTTACCCATCCCAGTGGTTTATCTTCATGTCAATAAGATGGTCTATCATTGATTGAGTATATTCAGCAAAGCCAGCAATATTCACACTGAAAAATAAATCATACACATACATATATATGTGTGTGTGTATATGTGTATATATACACATATATGTATGTTAACATATTTAAATTATTCAGATTTTGATTTCAGCATGTTCTAATACCATATGTGATCATGTCAAAGCAGAAGTCCAATTTGGATTATAATTCAATCAATGACAAATCCACGGAGGGAATGGGCTGAAAGGTCTAGTACAGTCTGATATCTCCAAGGATAACTCTAAAGTAAAAACAAATTACAGGGGCAGCCTAAGATTTGACTCTCACTTCATGTCATTATTATGAATCAAACTGCATCCTCGGACTGACTCTGGTTTATATCTACATACTTGATCTTCAAGGTTAATATACACTCTGAGACCATGCAACCTCATTTTCATCCCAGCTACTTTTTGCCCTGCCCATTCCTGCTCTACTATCCAAACCAGATCACCAACAGCCATGCTTGACAGGAGCTAAACCACCTGGCTCTGAACTTCCTGAGACTAGGCATTTTCATCTTAACCCCAGTCACTTTCAGTCTTTTCTACCTTTCACTTCTTACTGTGACCCAAATAGAGCTATTCTCCAACAGCTTATATCCATTGTTGCTTTACCACATAATCTTCCTCCTCCTTGGCAAAAAAAAAAAAAAAAAAAAAAAAAAAAAAAAAAAAAAAAAAAATTGTTTTCTAAAGACTCTTTTCTATAGAAAGAGTTTTGGGGGATATTTCTATGCCCATCATTTCCATAATATGTGATGCATTTTGGTGCCCTTGCCACCTTCCTTGTCTCACTAGCTCCTTCTGCCTCAGTTGGGAATTTCCCACTAGAATCACATCAACTACAAAACCAGAGGAACTTGGAGATGTTTTTCCTACTTCCTGAAGAACTTTAAAACCCTCTCTAAGTGGTGTGGAAAGGAGAGGTAAAAATAAGAGGGAGAAAAATGTCAGGAAATTTCTCAGCCTCAGTTCCTAGAGAGCCCAGGGAGAATCTCCCTCACCAGAATGGAAGTCAAATACTGTGAGTAGCCAAATAGAAAGGGAAACAAATTTACTAATGTACTAAGAGTGATTGCCTTTGTTAGTAGCACTCCCTTCCTAGTGTACAGATTTGGTCTATTATGATTTTTTGGCCCTCTCAGAGTACATAACCAATAAACAGCATTCTTCAGCATTTAACTAGCCCAATGGAAAGCTGATTACAGAGAGTGATGGGAGGTTCAACTGTTAAGGCCAAGGTCTCCCACTGCATCCAAGGCTATCTCCAGTTGTCCTGATCTATATCTTGCCACTGAACCCAGATGGCTCTAGAGGACAAAGTGAGGCTGGTGACTTTGCACAGTCCTCCCTCACTTAAATCCAATTCACTTGCATGTCATAGCATCACCTCCCTGATGTCATGGTCCTCTCTGAGAAGGAAGGAAAAACAACAACATCTTAATATGAGACCTAGAATCAAATTAATATGAAAAAAGCCTCCAGATATTAACAGATTTCCCCAAGGTTTTACCCACCCTATGGTTACTCACTTAGTAACTTCCCAAACCATAACTTCTTTCCTTGGCCACTATTTCTGTTTTGTCACTCTCATTAGAATGTAATCTCCTTAAAGGGAAGGGGCAGCCTCATTTTTATATTTGTATCCCTATACTTAGCACACTGTTTAGCACACAGTAAGTATAAACAATTTTTTTTTCATTTATGCATTCTATGAGATGTTACTTAAATTACATAAATTTAGACAGGATTATCTAGAACTAGAAATGAGATACTTCATAGAATCGTGGGATCATAGACTTAGTACAGGAAACCTTACAAGTCACTAAGTCCAGCTTCCTCATTTTAGAAGACAAGGAAACTGAGGTTAAGGGAGTTAAATAATTGGCTCAAGGTCACGTTGGTCTGATGCAGGATTTGAATCTTCTTGACTCAAGATTTAACACTCTATCTAAATCTAGCTATGGTGTATATCTTGAACATATAGCTATTCGGTTAATAATAAACAAAGTCTTCACTACCACTATGAGCAGATCAACCAATCCACTTTACCTAGATTTTTCTGAGTTATAATTTAGTTTATTAATGCTAAAGTAAAACTAGAAATGATCTTTCCTAAGTTAATTGAATTGTGTACATATACATAATATGGTCATTTGGGGTCATCTGGGGATTTTCCAAGACTAATTTTCCTAAAAATAAAACATACGAACTTCAGACAGAGAAGAGGCCCAAATGTAAGTAATAAACTTGTATTTTACTTAAAATTAGGGGATTAGATGGAAGGAAACTGAAGTATGTTCTGAGAATGTTAGTAGGAAAGAGCAGAAATTCAATATGGATTATAATGTGTAGGTAAAGGAGTATCAAAGGGGAAAAGGGATCCTACTATACAAAACCTTTTTTTCTGAACTAGAGCAAGAACACTAATGAGAGTGACACTCACTGACTCCCTGGTAATTTTCTCAACTATCATTTACAAGGCTTTGGTTCTCTGAGTGGTGGTAAGAGAATACTATATACATTATAATAATAACACACATAATACATCAGCCATTTAGATTTGTTGTAAAGCATGCATTTCTAATTATGTCCAGCTCCCATCTTAGCCAAGCCTAAGATCAGAATGTTATAGGAACACCCAATTAAGACCTTTCCAAGGAACCAGTTGCTAAAAACTTGGGGAAAACTTAATAAAGAAATGAACACAGATAAAATCTTAACAGCCTAATATATCACATAGAAAAATTTTTTATCAGATATCACGATAAATCCATCTTTCAAGCTTAAAAAATGCTGCCCGACTGTCAAAGACTTACATATTGGGTATACCAGCAGCTGAGCAAGAACCCTTGATTTCTAACTACATAGGCAGGCCCCTACTGAGCAACAATAAGCAAGTGCCATTACTTTTACTTTCACCTCTGATTCCTGCCCAATAATGCAACTCCAGTCAGTAAGAGGAAAGTGTACCACCTACTACTACCCAATTCCACCAAAAGAAAGGTAACTTCAACCCCAACCTTTCTGTTTTTTTGTTTGTTTGCTTGTTGTTGTTTTTTTGTTTGTTTGTTTTTTAGGCAATTGGGGTTAACTTGCCCAGGGTCACACAGCTAGTTAGTGTCAAGTGTTTGGTCTGAGGCCGCATTTGAACTCAGGTCCTTCTGACTTCAGGGCCGGTGCTCTATCCACTGCGCCACCTAGCTGCCCCCCCCCCCAACCTTTCTTAATAACAGAAAATTGAAGAATTCTATATCTAACCTGAAGGCAAAAGGGAAAAAAAGCAAAGAATGTTAAAGGTGATAAATTCCAGATAACATCACCAACATTCATCTCTGCACTTAATAGTTTACAAAATAAGCTCAAATACATTGTCTCTTCTAAACCTCACAACACCCTGATGGGTCAGAAAGGAGAATGATTGTCCCCATTATATATAGATGAAGAAACCTGGGCTTGCCTAAAGTCATAACTGTTAGCAAATGCCAAAGCTGAAACTAGAAACAGGGTATGGTGAGGGTTTTTTTTTCTCTCTCTTATTAAATTTATTCTTTTTCTTTTTTATCAAGAAAATTAATTTATTAAGAAAATTTATTAAGAAAATTAAATTTAAGGTTTAAATTAAGAAATTAATAATTAAAATAAATTAAATTATATTAAATTAAGAATAAATTAAGAAAAATAAATTAAGAAAATTAAGAAAGTACCTTCCTGACTCAGTTGGCTTCTAAATTTCCTTTGGCTCTCTTCTGCCTTTTTTAAAAAACTATTTCAGTAATGCTATTTTTTTTTTCTTTTCTGAATAACTGTCACACCCAGTTACTTGCCTGATCCCATAACTATATCTGAAAACAGTCCCTTGTAACAAATAACTATAGTCACATAAAACAAATTTATACGTTGGCAGTGGCTGTAAATATATGTCTCACTGGGCACCTACAATCCATCAGTTCTCAACCAAAAGATGGTAAATATGCTTCCTCATCAAGCTTCTGATTTTAAGATAGGCTATAGCATTGATCAAAGTTCTTAAGTATTTAAAAGCTGCTCTCCTTAACGTTATTGTAGTCATTGTATACACTATTGTCTGGGTTCTGCTCAATTTACTCTTCATAAGTTCATACAAGTCTTCCCAGGTTTCTGTGATATTATCTCTTTTGTCATTTCTTCCAGTAATATTATTCCATTACGCTACAATACCATAATTTGTTCTATTTCTCCAATTAATGGGCATATACTTTGCTTATAATCATTACCTTAACAAAAAGTGTTGATATACAAGGCCTAAAGTCAGGAAGACCCGACCAAATCTGGCCTCAGACACTTATCAGCTGTGTGAACCTGGGCATGTCACTTAACCCTGTTTGCCTCAATTTCCTTATCTATAAAATGAGCGGGAGAAGGAAATAGCAAACCACTATAGTATCTTTGCCAAGAAAATCCCAAATGGGATCACAAAGAGTCAGACACAATTGAAATGACTCAACAAGTGATATTTTTACATACATGGGTCCCCTTCCTTTCAGTTTTAATTTATAGAGGTGTATGTCTACCAATGGTTAGTGCTAAAACAAAGGATATGCACAATTTTATGACTTTGGGAGTTTAGCTCTGAATTGCTTTCTAGAATGGTGAAATCAATTCATAACACCACCAACAGTGCATTAGTGTTCTTGTTGGCCCATCAGTCAACAAGTATTTATTAAGCATCTACTATGTGCCAGGCTCTGTATTAAGTGCTGAAGATACAAGAAAAGGCAAAAAATAGTGCCTGTTAAGAAAAAGTTCACATTCTAATGAAAGGGAAACATGTTGAGTATTTAGTGCATAATAAAGTTGTACTTTATTACTAATTTTTTAAATTTATTTTTATTACTAATTTAATATTTTACTAACTATAAAAAAAATCTTTGCAATTTCTCTGATAAAGCTCTTATTTACAAGATATATAAGTAACTGATATAATTTATAAGAAAAAGAGACATTCCCTAATTGATAAATGGT